CCATAGTATCATTTTAATTTATCACCCAGAATCTGGGTGACACGTGACCAGCCGAAACCAGGGTCTTTCCTTCGCCTCGCGCCGTTCTAAGAAAGACCTTGGGAACGCGGTTGAGCAGTTTTCAAGATTCTCGACCTGTATATGTGAAGATTGCGAAGCGTTTGATCAACTTTGAAGCGAGAGATGTTGTACTTACATGCCATGGTCTGATGAATTTCAACGCTACTCGCGTTGCTACTTGCTGAATAGCAATGTATCGATCAGAAATTTATTCATACAACTAAACCAACGTCTCATTAATTGGAAACTTACTTCAAAGTCGAAAGGTATCGTACAATGAAACTTTACAATGCGAGTATATATATATAAATTATGTTCAAGAATTTCTGTTCAGAATTTCCCGTGCAGGATTGTCTGATCCTGCACGGCTGTTGACCAATCAAATTGCGTGTTTCACTGTAGTTCTTAAAGTTGAGATGTCGATTTCTTGCTAAACAGCGTGGCGATCAATATGGCGCATATCTAAATACAGGGAATTTTTAAAATTTGTTGGTATAAATGGGCTAAAGAAACTCATCAAATATTTGGGCTATGGACCTTCAAACTTATTGTCTTCATTGTTTTTAATCCTTGAATAACAATATATTCATTGGTCTCAGAGTCCTAAACTTAAGGAAGATGGATGACATTGAGACAGATATCAAAATTTTGTTCCGATATCAAAATTTATAAACATGTATAGTCACAGTGACTAAGTCACTCATAGCATAGTCATAGGACCCTCATTGTTTATTCCTTAATCTGGCACACTAGTCACAAATGGGGCCTGTTCTTATGACCTGGCTAGGCAGGAGACAACATTTGCTAGTATTGCCGATATACTATCCTGCTACTATCCTGGCTAAGCACAAAGTATCCGTTGCCAGAATCCCAACTATGCAAGCCAAGAAATTTACCATTTACAGTAAACATTCTATCCCACAACCAACTTGCCTAATTTAGGGTCCCATGCTGCCTAGCCCAGGTCATATCAACAGACCCTTAGCAGATCCTGAAACTACAATTGGAACATTTTAGGCCATAATCTTGTAGAATCAACCAGGTATTGTCAGTAGTATAATATCAAACTGGGCAAGCTGGTCTTGCCCATTTATATGGGCTAAATATACACCTGCCCATGGTAGGATACTGCCTCGTATATTAATTTTATATATGTTTGAGATTGCATTCACATGAAACAGCCTGGTTGAATTTATTGGCCCAGCATCTGCTTGGGCAAGTTGATATCCTGCATTGAGTCTCACACTAATAAAGGTCATAAGCTGGCCAACCAGTTCACTCGGCTAAAAATCATGTTATAATACACAATTTGGCCCAAGTAAGTAAGAAATTGATTAATATAAGCCTTCTGAGGCTGTTGTCATTAACAAATTAACCAGCATTTCACACAAATTTCTTGACAACAGTTGCCAGGTTAGCCTGGCTCCTGTGAGGCAAATGACAAACTAGCCCTAAAAAGAAAATCCAGCCATGTTTGCTGGGCCAGCATGGCCCATTTTGACAGCCCTTTGGCGGGAGATCTGATTTTTGGAAGGGAGGCCTATTTGTGAGGTTACTGGGGGCTTAATATTGGAGTGCATTATTATATAATATGTGTAAAATATTTATTTGTGCACAGGTATTCTGGTAATGCACAAATTTATGGACTAAAATGTTTCAATTATAGTCTCGGAATCTATTGGGGACCTGTTTATATGATCTAAGCTATCCAGAACACATGCTTGAAGCCTATCATGTTGCCTGTTTGGGATACAGTGCTTATTGTATAT